TACCCCCATAACACAAATAGAACAAAATAATATAATCAAATTATTTTGAATAAATCCATACGCAGCAAAACATACTATAATTATTTCACAAAACTTGATAATTTGTACTAAAGTTGTTCTTTCGAATCTATCTGCTACCTGCCCTGCAATACTAGCAAATAATACAAAAGGCAGTACAAAAGTAGTATTCGCTAACAATACTAATAATTGTGGTAATTCTCCTAACTGGCTTGATAATTTATAAGTAATTAAAATAATTAAAGCATTCTTCAGTATATTATCATTTAAACAACTACAAAACTGTATTATGAAGATAGGTAGAAAGCGTATATCCTTAAATAAATATAATCGGTTTGATTTCATACTATCCTTCCTAAAATAGGCGTATCTTATGCAATTTGTTACTCTATGTCAAATATCTAATTAGCATAAATCTTATATTTAGCTACTAATTTTATAAAAATAAGTAGCTAAATATAGCGTCAATTGATAATAAATTTTATTTAAAATAAGAATATATAAAATACAAGCCAACAACTAATAAAATAATTGTTGACCTGATTATAAAATTTTGGAATTAATATAATTTACCTTCCTCGTCGCGGTATACATAAAGAGGCTCGTCATTGTTGTAACCATTATCACCAACCACTTGCACTTCAGAACTAGCAGCAGTAAGAGTGATGTTGGTATTATTATTATATTCACTATTAACACCCTCCGTCCCTTTACTTTCACTATCCTCATTATATGTTTCCAAGTATCTGTTACGTAATAAATTACTATTTTTATCTCCTTCTTCAAAATCACTACTATTTGAGACATTATTTGAGACATGATTAATAATGAACTTAAGTGATGTGTCATCATTTGCCAGACTACTTCTTTCTTGCATATCACTTGTTTGTTGTTTTTTATTTTTCAATTCAACTACTAAATCATCTTGTAGAAGATTTCGTGATAGTCCATTTGGCAAGCCTTCCTTACTACTAGTAGAAGGTACACTTAGATCATTATCATCATTTGATACTGAACGTTTTGATCGATCTAATACAAGCGTATAAGCATGATCCTCTTTATTAAATTTAATTATAGTATTTAGATGATTTATTGTCATATCATCATCCTTATGTGTAGTATCTTTTTGTTGTTGCCTTATTATCCGTGGTGGTACAGGGGGGTTTATTACCGGTTTTAAGAAGTTTTCATCAACAGTGCTTGTATTACTTTCATCTTCAATATCATTCATACTTGACTTATTATCCAATTTTTTAACTTTAGTTTCATTAGGATTTGATTGAGAGATATTTTTTTTTGTACACTTGTATATCATCTCATATGTGTCTTCACTATCATCTGACACTTTCTTTGCCTTACTTTCTACTTTTGCCTCAAAAGAGCTAAGCTGTGCTTTACCTAAGAGTGTATTGACAACTAAGTATATTGTGTTAATATTTTCTGCCCCTTTACCTTTTGACTGCATAAACCCACAATATTCACTTAAAACTTCTAACAATTGATGCTCCTTATCTTCTAATAAATTAGCTAAAGCTTTTAATGAGTTAATATTATTATCTTTATTCTCTAAAATTTTTTGCAACAATGTTGATTCAAAACGTGCACTTCTTTTCTCACTTACTGTTAGAGAATCCGCATCATCCACGCATTTTTTATATTCTGCAAAAAAACCTATTATTTTTTGCTTGATCATTTCTACTGTTTCGCGTTCCCCTTCTAATTTTACTGCATCAAAGACTCTATCAATATTTTGTTTGATAGTATTAAGTACTTCTTCACTTTTAGATTCCAATATTTTAGGTAGTAATTTATAAAATTCTTCTACTCTACTAGAATACTCAATATGTACATCACTAATACATAAATTATTTTTTGCAAAGATATTAATAAATAGATAATCATTACTTTTTAGGTAAGATATAACATCTTCTAATGTAATATTATCTTTATCCATTATTTTTTCATATTCCTTATATGCCTGTTCGCAATGTTTTTTATCTTCTCCACTTAGTTTACTAACATCAGGTGATACAAAAAAACTTTGCAAATAAGTTGTTATTTTTAATAAATTAAGTAATTCCTGATTATTTATGATTAGTTCAATTTTATCAAGAAGATATTTCTCTACACCTTTAACATTACCACCTTTTTTATACATAAAAGGTGAAAAAATTTTAGAAAAATAAAAAAGATTCTTTTCAATTATCTTTTGTGTTTGATTATAGTCCATACATTGATTTAATAAGCCCTCAAGAAAAGAAGAAGCACTTTCTTTATTGTGTTCTTTAACATATGATTGCAGACCTTGTTTAAAACTATTAAGATCTTCCCTACATTGTTTAACACCCTCATTATGTTGTCTTAATATATCACTATATGTCTTAATTCCGTCATCATTAGGCTTACCTTCTCTATCAAAAGTCAAAATATGTTTAAGAGCGTCTTGTATACTAATAGCTTCCTTAAGATGTATAAGATCTTTCATTGTAATACCCATATCTTGTTTAAGATATTTATCAAAATCACTAGACTTAATTACATCATCAATTGTTATATTTCGACTAAGATATTCTTGTTTAAGATATTTATCAAAATCTATATCTTCAAACCTTAAATCAAACCTTAAAAAGTCCCTTACATATGCCTTTATAAAATTATTTAACAAAACATTTTTTTTACTTGCAAGATCTTTGTACAACTCCTTACATTTTGTATATCCTGTATATTCCTTACTCCCTATGACCTCATGCTTACTCATCCATTGTTGCAAATACTTAAGCGCTACCCTTCTTTCCTCTTGACCCATAATAATATCTCCTTTTTATTTTTATATAAAAGACCATTTATGAACTAATAATAAGAAAAAAGCAACATTTTTTTATTAAAAAAATTTAATTATTTTTTAATGTCAACCAACTTAGTGTCAAACAACAATATTATTAATAATATAAATTTTCATTAGTAAAAATTTATTATTTTGTTATAGTTAAGCGCTAAATTAATAACTTAAACATATTAAAATGAATAATTATTCTTCTATTGCTAAAAGGGTTATTTTAACTGAGTCTGAAGCACTAAAAAAACTATCAAATAATTTACCTAATGATTTTGAAAAAGTTATAACTCAAATAATAAATTGTAAAGGTAGAGTAATTTTAACAGCTATAGGTAAAAGCGGTTATATTGCTCGTAAAATAGCAGCAAGTTTTGCTTCCACTGGCACGGCTTCTTTTTTTCTTCACCCAGCTGAAGCAAGCCATGGTGACCTTGGAATGATTACCAAAGACGACTTGGTCATTATATTATCAAATTCAGGAGAAACAAGAGAATTATTTGATATAATCAAATATTGTAAAAGATTTTCAGTAATGATTATTACTATGACTATGAATTCTGAGTCTACTATAGCCCTAAATAGTGATTTATTATTATTAATACCTATAATTCAAGAAGCTTCATTTATTGAAGCTCCTACTACTTCTTCTATTATAATGTTGTCTCTCGGAGATGCACTTATTACTACTGTACATGAGGTACGTGGGATTTCTAAGGAAGATTTTTTTCTATATCATCCAGGTGGCAAAATTGGTTCAAATCTTATCAAGGTTAAAGATTTAATGCGTACCTATGACCAACTACCACTAGTATATGCAAATACTTCTTTTATTGATACTATATTGGTTATGAATCAAAAAAGTCTTGGCTGCGCTATAGTAATTGACCACAAATCACATTTAATTGGTATAATAACAGATGGAGATTTACGTCGTCATATTAACGAAACAATATATCAAAAATATGCAAGTGATATAATGACTATAAATCCACAGCAGATTTTTCCATCAAAATTAGCTATAGAAGCATTAAATTTTATGAATAAAAACTCAATTACTAATATGGTTGTAACTGAAGATAATATAGTTAGTGGCATAATTCATATACATGATTTACTAAGAGCAGGAATTATTTAATGAAAATTCTCTTATATCATAAAATTATAATTAATTTATCAAAATTAATATCTCTATTTGGAATAGTTTTAATATTGAATTTAGTTTATACAAAATTAAAAACAAAAAAATATAAGGAAAACAATTATTATAATAGCACTTTGAATGTAGCTAATAAACCAAATTCTGAAATTACAATCCAAGGTTCAACTTTTGAAGGAGTTAACAAAAATTTGAAACCATATAAAATTCAAGCTGATCAAGTTATCAAAATTTTTAATAATAAATATAAATTAAATAATATTAATGCGTTATATACATTAATTAAACAAAATGACTTAGTAATTAATGCAAAATATGGTATCATGAATGAGACGACTCAACTTTTAGAATTAAAGGATAATGTAAAGTTTTCATTAGAAGAAGCTACATTTTGTACTGATAAAATACAAATTAACTTAATGAATAAAGAAATTATAAGTAATACGGGGGTAACTTTATCTTACAAAAATTCTAAAGTTACTTCTAACCTCTTTTATTCTGATAATAATATTGTAAATTTTAAAGGTAATGTATTTGCAAATATTAATATATCAGATTTTTAAAATGAAAAAATTTATATTTTTATACATAGTATTTCTTATAATAATAGAATCTTATGGGCAAGTTACTCCCTCTAACTTATACATTAATTCTGATAGTTTAATTATTGATCAAAATAAACAAAATGCATATTTTACAGGAAATGTTACCTTATACTTTGATGACATAATATTAAAAACAAATGATTTAGAGGTTATTTATAAAATAGTTTCTAATAAAAAAGTAATAGACTACATATTAGTTCCAACAAAATTAATAGCAAAAAGAGAGAGTAATCAGGAATTATTAATTGCAGACTCAGCTAAATATTTTATTGATAAAATGGAACTTATTTTACTTGGTAATGTAATATTACAACATCAAAATCACATTTTGAAAACTAACAAATTAGTTTTTTATGTTAAACTAAAATCTATAAAAAAATAATATATGGAGCTTCATTCAGAAACAGATAATTTTAGAATAGAAAATATTTGTAAGTCTTATAATAAAACAATAATACTCCATGATATATCCCTTAAATTATTAAGAGGAGAAGTAGTTGGGCTATTTGGTCCAAATGGTGCTGGTAAAACTACTTGTTTTTGTATTATTATAGGTTTAATGAAACCTGATAAAGGTAATTTATTCTTTAATGAACAGAATATTACTCATTTACCAATGTATTTAAGAGCTAGGCTTGGGTTCGGTTATCTTCCTCAAGAATCATCAATTTTTCGCGGTCTTTCCGTTTCAGATAATATTAGAGTAATATTAGAAATTATATATAATGATAAAAAAATTATTGAGCAAAAAACTGAAGTATTATTACAAGAATTCTCAATTTTGCATCTTAAAAACGTTTCTTCAATGGGATTATCTGGGGGAGAAAGACGTAGGTTAGAGATCGCAAGAACACTAGCTCTTGAACCCAAATTTATTATACTTGATGAACCCTTAGCTGGTATTGACCCATTAGCAATTTCAGATATTAAAAACCTAATTGTGCACTTACGCGACCGTAATATTGGTATTCTCATTACTGACCATAATGTTCGAGATACTTTAGATATTGTTGATCGTGCTTATGTTATTTATGACGGCAAAGTATTATTAGAAGGAACCCCTAGCGAAATAGCAGCTAATAATCAAGTAAAAGAAGTATATCTCGGCCAATCTTTTTGCTTATAAGATTTTTTATTTATGAGATAAATTAACTAGTGTGTCAATTCCCTCTATAATTGGCAATTTAGAACTCATAGAAAGTTTTGTTTTTACACTAATTAGCCATTTTTCAAATTCCTCCTTACTGACAACCTCAATAGCAATTGGCATAAAACCATGATTCACTCCACAAAGTTCTGAACATTGACCATAATAAACACCTTTTTTACTAATTCTAGTCCAAGTTTCATTCACTCTACCAGGTACAGCATCTATTTTAATACCAAGTGATGGTACTGCAAAACTATGAATTACATCTCCTCCTGTAACCAAAAATTTTACAGTAGCATTTTCAGGTATAATAATTCGATTATCAACTTCTAATAATCGTTTTTGACCAGATTGTAACTTTTCATCTGCAATCATATAACTATCAAATTCTATATTATTATGATCAGGATATATATAATGCCAATACCACTGATATCCTACTACCTTAATTGTTATGTCTGCTGGAGGAATTTTCTCTGCTATACGTAAAATGCGAAAAGACGGCACAGCAATAACAACCAAAATTATTATCGGGATCACAGTCCATATAATCTCAATTGATAAATTATGTGAAAATTTAGCTGGAATAGGATTAGCTTTTGCATTAAATTTAACACAAACATAGGTTAATAACGCTATAATAATAAAAATTATACTAGCTGATATTAAAAGCAAGAAATTATGAAATTGTGTTAATTCCTCCATAAGAGGGCTAGCAGGAGATTGTAATAACATCTGCCATGGCTTAGGCTCAGATGCAAGACTATCATTATTAAATAATAAATACATTAAAATGATAAAGATATTACTCATAATTTCATATTAATAGTTTAATTATTATATTATAAACGTAAATTCTAAATATAAATATATTTAGTTAATAATAAGCTATAATTATAAAATATGTCAAATATAACAAATTATTTTTAAAATATAATCTAGATATATCAGTTTTTATGATATAATGACTATAAGCATTTAAGTCCCTGGCTTGTAATAAGAATCAATTTTTAAGCAATTGACATTTAATTTATAATTCATATTATACTAAACTTTAAGAAATAATTTAAGAATATCAATGGCTGGCCATTCAAAATTTAAAAATATACAACATCGCAAAGGTGCTCAGGATAATAAAAGAGCAAAAATTTTTACTAAATTAGTAAGAGAAATTATTACTGCAGCTAAATTAGGGTTAACAGACCCACAAAGCAACCCTAGATTAAGAAGTGCTATAACAATAGCTCGTAGCTATAATTTACCTAAAGAAAGGATCGAAAAAGCAATTAATGATGCAAATGATGTAACTAATAACGAAAATTATAGCGAAATACGTTATGAAGGATTTGCTAATGATGGTATTGCAATAATAATTGAAACTTTAACTGATAATAAAAATCGTACTGCTGCTGAAATACGTTCAGCCTTTACAAAATTTGCAGGTAATTTAGGAGACCCAGGTAGTGTTAGTTGTTTATTTAATCATCTAGGAATAATACAATATCCTATAGAAATATCTTCAATAAGCACACTCTTATCAAAAGAAGATGAGTTAGAAGAAATTTTAACAATAGGAGTAATAGATATAGTTTCTCATAAATCTCATTCTATTTACACTAATGTTAAAGATTTTGCACATTGCCTTGAATTTTTTACCCAAAAATATGGTGTTCCTGAAGAATGTTATATTGGTTGGATTCCTAGAAATACAATAATTATTGAAGATGAAGAAAAAGCAAAGAAATTATTAAAATTAATTGATCTTCTAGAAGAAAGTGACGATGTACAAAGGTTATTTAGTAATTATGAATTATCTGATAAAATTTATGAAAAAATGACATCACCTCAATGAATTATTAAATAACTATTATTAGAACTGACAGCTAGCAATATAAAAAGAGTATATATTTTACAAATATAAGAAATTGTTAAATATTTTGGAGAGATGGCCGAGCGGTTTAAGGCGCACGCCTGGAAAGCGTGTTCACGGGCAACCGTGTCAGGGGTTCGAATCCCCTTCTCTCCGCCATTTTATATGGGACTGTTAAATATATAGTAGATGAGTATGGACCTGGTCATAGTACCCTTCCTTGTTCACACAATCTAGATTGTTATCACGAATTACTAAATTTAATAATCGCTAATTAAATTTTATAATATTATGTAATATCTTTAAGATTCTCTCTTGTTAATTCCCTTGTTTTAGCAAGTCTAATAAACCTCATAAAAGCAAAAATCATAGAGTCAACAAACCATCAAAGCCAAAAATAAAATATCGTCTTATAAAAAATGTTTTGCAAAAATACAATATTATCTCACTAGCAATTCTAATTTTCGAAAGATTCCTACCAAGATTTATTAAATCTCTTGCTTGCTCTGGGGAAAAAAAAAATTCTTTGGTAATTAATTATTCAATTGATATACCAAATCGATGATAAGCTATACCATTTAAATTATAAATTTTATTTTGTATATTAATTTTTGAATTAAACACTACTGAATCATGGGTAGTATTTTTTATACTATTAGCAAAACTACCAAACTTACGATTATATAATCTTATAGCCTTAGTACAAGGTGCTAAAAACCGAGGTTCTAAATCATTACGATGTACTATCAAAAATTTAATCTGATAAGCAAAATAATTATCCTGTATATCAGAAGAAAAAATAAATTCTATCTCATTTTGTAACTCAACTGATAATTCTTCATCTCCATTAATATTAATTATCCAATCATTTTCACATAAGTTCTCTCCAAAAGATTTTTGTGCTATATAACCAGACCATTCATTAAATATTACTTTTGCTCCTAAATTCCTAGCAATTTGTACTGTGTTATCAATACTACCACTATCTATAACAATTATTTCTTCTACAATATTTTTAATACTATTAATAGCTTTTGCTATTCTCATAGACTCATTTTTTGCAATGATAAAACCAGAAATTTTTGCCATATTAACTAAATAATTTAATTATACTAGCATAGTATATATAAAGAGTATGTTATAAATCTTCGGGCACGAGTTTAAATAACTTCCCTAAAGTATGGTAGTATGCTATAATGACTTTATGTCAGATNAACCAAGCATAGCATAACCAAAAATAAGAGCTATACCAGTCATCATAGAGAAAGGTGTAAGCCAATCAAAACTCCCTCCTGCAAAAATTCTTCCATCTACTTTTACCCCTTGCACAAATGCACCAAGCATCACACCCTGGCATATTGCAGCTAAAAGAGAACCAAAATGGAAAGAATAATCCCATATATAACGATATTTATTAGATGCTTTAAACCTAAATTCAAATGCTACCCCGCGAAAGACTAAACCAAGCAACATTAATATCACTGGAATATAAAATGCTGGCATTAAAATTGAATAAGCCAGTGGGAAAGCGGCAAATAACCCCCCACCTCCTAATACTAACCAAGTTTCATTACTATCCCAAAACGGAATAATAGAATTCATCATCCTATTACGACAATCATCAGTTGGTGCAAATGGAAATAATATTCCTATCCCTAGATCAAACCCATCTAATAATACATAAAGGAAATTATTAAAACTTGCTTCCTTCACCAAGTAACTGCTTTATTATATTGCGCATTAAATAAAGAACTATTAAAAATGCGCTAGATAAAAACATCATGTAGAAGGCTGGAGAATAAGTTAACCCTGTCTCTTTAATAAGCCAATGTGCTATAATAGGACTAGTACCGCCAAAGGTAGCTATACCTAAATTATAGCTAAAGGCAACACCAGAAAATTTCTGTTCAGGTGTAAATAAAGATATAGAGAATATATAAGCTACTCCTGCAATTGCCCCTCCAAGAACACCTAACATAGTTAATGCAATAATTTGCTTCAATGTTTCTGCAGACGTCATTAATAACATAATAGGTAAGATTAATATTAGATTTACTAAATTAACTAGAATTATTGTTCTAAATTTACCGATAATATCAGAAATACCGCCAAATAATGGCATAGATATCATTAATATAAACGACGTATATGATAAATAAATAAGAGCTGTTTTATTATCGAGATGCATAACACTTTTATAATAAATATTTATATAAGTTTTAATTAAATAAACAAAACTACTAGCAATACTACCAACACAGAAAGTTAAAAACATTGCACGCCATGCTGTTTTAATAACATTAGTAAAAGGTGCTTTCAGCGTTTTCTTTTGCTCTTCTAACATTTTAAAGACTGGGGTTTCTTCTCCTATCATACGTAGATAAAAACCTATAAATCCTATAAAACCACCTAGTAAAAAAGCAAATCTCCAAGCAAATTCAATATGATAAAAATATTGTTCAATTATAATACCTATAAAAGTAGCAAATAAAGTACCGGTAATATTAGAACCGTTTACTAAACCACCTGTAAATCCAGGTCGCAAGTTTTTATGATGTTCCAAAATAAAAATAGCAACACCAGTACCTTCACCGCTAACAGACAAACCTTGTATTAAACGCATAATAATTAATGTTATCGGTGCATAAATACCTATATCATGATAAGATGGAATTAACCCTATAACAAAGGTAGGTATAGCCATACCAAGCATAGCAATTATTAAAGAAATACGTCTACCATATTTATCTCCTACATAACCAAAAAATATACCACCAATTGGTCTAGTTAAAAATCCTACTGCAAATACTGAAAGACTTAATATAATTTGTAAAAATTCTGATTCTTGAGGAAAAAATGTACGACCAATAGCTAATGAAAATACTGAATATACTGTAAAATCATAATACTCTAATATATTACCTAAAATAGCTGGGAAAAAAATAGATTTTGATTTACTTACCATACAACTCAACATTACTCAGATTAAAAACATTAGAGTGTATTATAATTAATATTATTTATATTACAAGATAAAGGATTAATTATTATTTAAATAAACTTAATTATTATTAGGTATTAAGTTAGTAAAATTTAATTATATTTAATCTAAAAGTTTTCAATGGGATAATAAAATAGTTAAGATACAGCTAAATTCACAAAGTCTCAGACAAGATGAATTTGAGACTACACCTTGCGCTGTGTACTATTTACGTGAGAGCAGGCGAATGGCAAAAAATTCGCTTGTATCAAGCTTTGTGAATGACACTGTAGACTATAAAACCGTTTTAATAGTATATTAATTCTTAATTTAAAGCTATGGTGAAGATGATCATTCTTACCTAGATAAATTTAAGATTAATTAATTTTATATAAGCACTAATACTTCTAGATAACTTAGATTAGATATATAACTTTAACCTAATAACCATAAAATAGCCTTTATTATATATGATATTAATAGTGTAGATATTAAACCACCTAACCATAATATAATAAACCAGCTCCATTCTTTTAAACTACGTATCTGTAGTAAAGATTTTACTTGTAACTTATTAATACATTGGGTGATGAGTCGATTTCGCACGGAATACATAATAACAATAAATAGTATAAGATAGTATTACTGGAAGTAGTACTAACGCTCCCACCAACATAAGTGACTGTGATTCTGGCGCTGCAGCTGCATGTTTTAAAGATACTTGATAAGGTATTATAAAAGGCCATATACTTATAGCTAATCCTAAATAACAAAGTATGAAAAGCATAATTGAATAAAAGAAAGGTGTTACTTCTTTATTATTACATAGGCTTTTAAATAATAAAAAAATCGTTAAGAAAGTTAAAATAGGTACTATAGAAAGATATATTATATTAGGCATACTAAACCAGCGTATACGAATTTGTTCATTAAGGAATGGAACAATAAGACTTACTAAACCTATAAATAATACGACATAGATTAATACATAAAATGCAGATTTACGGGCCCATACTTGAGTATTACCTTCTGTTTTCATTATTAACCAATTGCAACCAAGCATAGCATAACCAAAAATAAGAGCTATACCAGTCATCATAGAGAAAGGTGTAAGCCAATCAAAACTCCCTCCTGCAAAAATTCTTCCATCTACTTTTACCCCTTGCACAAATGCACCAAGCATCACACCCTGGCATATTGCAGCTAAAAGAGAACCAAAATGGAAAGAATAATCCCATATATAACGATATTTATTAGATGCTTTAAACCTAAATTCAAATGCTACCCCGCGAAAGACTAAACCAAGCAACATTAATATCACTGGAATATAAAATGCTGGCATTAAAATTGAATAAGCCAGTGGGAAAGCGGCAAATAACCCCCCACCTCCTAATACTAACCAAGTTTCATTACTATCCCAAAACGGAATAATAGAATTCATCATCCTATTACGACAATCATCAGTTGGTGCAAATGGAAATAATATTCCTATCCCTAGATCAAACCCATCTAATAATACATAAAGGAAAATAGCAGTAGAAATTAGTCCACCCCATACTAAAGGTAAGTCTATATAAGAAGAAAAATTAAGCATGATTTTCTCCTTTTTCTGGTTCTTCTTGAATTAATAATAATGGATTACCTAAGGCATTAACACCATATGTTGCTTCTTTATCTATAATCATAGGTCCATTATTTATTAAGTGCATAATATAATAAATACCAGCACCAAATATAAATAGATAGACTACAATAAATGCACTTAGTGATATTAATATATATTGGCTTAATACTGGTGATGTTGCTTCAGATGTTCTAATTAAATTATATACTATATAAGGTTGTCTACCAATTTCTGTAACAAACCAACCAGCCAATATTGCTACAAAACCAGATGGAGACATAATTATACACCAATATTGAAACCACTTAGTATCAAATAACCTTTTACGTAAATATAAATATAATGCTATGGAGCCAGTGATTATCATTAATATACCAATGCCTACCATAACACGAAAAGACCAAAATACTATTAATACCGGTGGACGTTCTTCTTTTTTCCATTCTTTTAACCCTTTTATCTCACCATTCAAAGAATGTGTTAATAATAAGCTAGCAAGTTTTGGAATTTTTATAGCATATTTTGTTTTTTCTTCTTGTGGATCTGGAATACCAAAAAGGTTAAGACTAGCTCCTTTCTCACTATTCCATATACCTTCCATTGCTGCAATTTTTGCTGGTTGATGTTTTAATGTATTTAATCCATGTAAATCACCAATGAAAAGTTGTACAGGAGTAACAAATACTGCCATTAACATTGCCATAAAGAACATAATTTTAGCGTGAGCAACATAACGTTTTTGTATTAAATACCAAGCAGATACTCCACCTATAACAAAAGCAGAAGTTAAAAATGATGCCGTAATCATATGGCAAAATCTATATAAAAAAGAAGGAGTAAAAATAATTTCAAGCCAACTTGTAGGATATATAACACCATTAAGTATCTTATACCCAGCAGGAGTTTGCATCCAACTATTAGCAGATAAAATCCAAAAGGCAGAAGTAATAGTACCAAACGCAACAATTAAAGTAGATATAAAATGTGTAATCTTACCTACTCTATTCCAACCAAATAACATAACACCAAGAAAAGATGATTCAAGGAAGAATGCTGTTAATACTTCAAAAGCAAGAAGTGGTCCTAAAACATTTCCTACCTTATCAGAAAAACCAGACCAATTAGTACCAAATTGGTAAGACATTACAACACCAGATACTACTCCCATACCAAATGTTACTGCAAAAATCTTAACCCAAAACTTATATATTTCTTGATAAATATCATTAGAGGTTTTTAACCACAAACCCTCTACTACTACAAGCCAACTAGCAAGACCAATCGTAAATGATGGAAAAATAATATGAAAACTCATAGTAAAAGCAAACTGTATACGCGAAAATAAAACTGGATCAAACTCCATATTTATTACCATTCCTTAATTAACTTACTTTTTATTATCATTCTTCTCACTAATGACTTATGAACTAGATTATATCTTTGTTAGATAAGAAATCAAATTAAAATCAACATACTACAACTAATTAATACAATTTAACTAATATAAAACTAATTCTTTAAGCAAATATCAAAACTCATGTTGATTAAGACTATAATTTTGCCCTGCTTTTACAAATTTTTGTTTTATAGGATCCCAATTATATAAAACATTTACTATTGTAACTTCCGTAACCGTAATATCTCCATTTGACAATTGGGCTACATCAAAGCCCTTTTGTACAGACTCAGTAATAAGAGTTGCAGATTGGCAAATATATTTAACATCAGAAAAGGGGTCATAATCAATTTTTACTAAATCTTTAGTTTTTTTAGTCGAGTGATTATCATTAATAGATGAATTTTTTGTTTTCATTTTAAACAATCAAAATAATTCTTATAATCCTTCTTTTGTAACACTTTAGTAATATAGAATCAAGTTTTGTTTATTATAAAATTAATTTAAGATTACAATTGTTGACTAAGATAACACTAATAGTGAGATTTGTATATTCAAATCAATAATTATTAATAAATATTTTGGTTATAAATTAGTAGATATTTATAGAACTATGACCAAACTATGACTATTAGTCTTGTAATATCAACTATATTACTACTTATTTTTGGACATTGCCAGAAATGCTGAAAATAATATTATTCCTAATAATAACTTATTCATTTGTTAAATTATTTATAGCTTTTTTTATTTTTATTTATATAACAATTATCCTAATTTAAAATACTGCATATTAATAATCTATTGCTAATTGCTTGGCAATTAGAGTTAATTTGTGATAAATGTACTAAACTAAAGTTGTAAATTTTATATAATAATTAGCAACTTATATTCATTAAATTATTAAGTATAGGCTGTATGAGGTACATATTGTGAAAAGAGACTTTACTTTTCCAAATTCTTTAATTGGATTATGTTTCTATTTTTTAAAACATAATAAAATAAAAATCTTTACTTTGATTATATTATGCATACTTACAGGCATGATACCAACAATTGATAGTATATTATTAAAAAAGATTATTAATTTAATTGAATCTTTTTCTGATAAGACAGCACAAGATTTGCAATCTTCTATGATATTTTGGGCAGGATTATATGCTCTATGGTGGGAAATGCTTAACATCATATTCCGAACATATGATTACATTTACCTTAAAACAATGCCTTATATAAAAGGCAATATACTAGATGAATTGTATAATTATACTCAGTACCATAGTCATAAATTTTTTCAAGATAACCTTGCCGGCCATATTACTAATAGGATTACTGAAACAGCCAGATCATTTGAAATGATTATTTCTACATTTTGTGAAAAAATTATTCGTAAGATAGCAGTTATTATTTTTGCTTTTATTACTATGTATTTTGTACATTACGTATTTGCTAGTATATTTTTAATGTGGATTTGCTTCTTTTTAGGTATTAGTATTCTTTGTACCGATAAAATTAATAGATATTCTTTAAATTATGCTAAAAGTAAATCTATGGTAGCAGGTAGTATTGTTGATTCAATTACAAATATTAGTGCTGTACGTATGTTTACTTCACATCGCTTTGAACGAAAACATCTTGATACACGAATAAGCAATGCTATCGTAGATGAGCAAACCATGCAATTTTTTATGTTTAAATTACGCTATGTGCTTGGTTTATCTTGTTCTATAATGATTTTCATAACGCTTTATTATCTTGCCTTTTTACGTAGCCAACTAATAATAACTATAGGAGATTGTGTATTAATAATTACACTAACTAATTCTGTTGCTGATGATATATGGGATTTAACTCAAGAAATAGGTGATATGTTTGAAGAAATAGGTTCTTTTAATCAAGGTCTATCTTTGATGTCTTCTTATGTTATTACTGATGCTAATGATGCTAAAACTTTAGTAGTATCAAAAGGAGGAATAGTATTTAAAGATGTAACTTTTAATTATCATAATAATAATTTCTTTAAAAATAAATCTATTATTATTACTAGTAAACAAAAAGTTGGACTAGTAGGTTTTTCAGGTTCAGGCAAAACGACTTTTGTAAATTTGATTACAAGACTACATGATATAGAAACAGGTGAGATTTTAATTGACAATCAAAATATTATTAATGTAACTCAAGATTCCTTAAGAAAAAATATTAGTGTAATACCACAAGAACCAATCTTATTTCACCGAACAATTCTAGAAAATATTAGTTATGGTAAAAAAGATGCTAGTAAAGAAGAGGTAATTGAAGCAGCAAAGATTGCCCATATACATGATTTTATTATGAGCCTACCACAAAATTATGATAATCTATGTGGAGAACGTGGTAATAATTTATCCGGGGGACAAAGACAAAGAATAGTAATCGCAAGAGCAATATTAAAAAATGCTCCAATATTGATTCTTGATGAAGCAACAAGTAGCTTAGATAGTGAAACTGAAAACTTAATCCAAGAATCTCTACAATATTTAATGCATAATAAAACAGTATTAGTAATTGCGCATAGATTATCAACTTTATTAAATATGGACAGAATTTTAGTCTTTGAATCAGGTAGTATTGTAGAAGATGGACAACATAAAGAGTTATTAAAGAATAGTAGACTCTATAAAAAATTATGGAGCTCTCAAGTTAAAGGTATGATCTAAATTAAACCTTATTAAAGTAAGAAACTAAGAAAAAAGCTAATTTAAAGAATATACTTGTCCTCCAATAGAATTTAATAATACAATCACAAAAGGCAAGCTCATTTACCTTATATGCATCTATACAGCAACACGTCTCTTATTAGGTTTAATACAAGACTTCATTGTAACTAGTGGATTAGCCTTACCATCAACAACATCTTTTGAAATATGAATATTCTTTTTTTTCAATTCCATAACATTATACATGCTATCTAATAAAATATTCTCAATTATAGATCTTAATCCCCGTGCCCCAGTTTTACGCTCTAAAGCTTTTTCAGCAATCTTCTCTAATGCTTCTTCATCAATAGATAATTCTATCTCATCTAACTCAAATAACTTATGATATTGTTTTATTATAGCATTTTTAGGCTTAGTTAAAATCTGCATTAAAGATTCTTTATCAAGATCATCTAAAGTCGCAACTACTGGTAACCTACCAATAAATTCTGGAATTAACCCAAATTTAACAAGATCCTCAATTTCCAATGACTTTAATATTTCATTATGACGCATTTCCTTTTCTAAACGTACATTTGCAGCAAAGCCTATAGAACTTTGTGCAGTACGCGAAACTATAATATTTTCTATTCCCATGAAAGCACCGCCACAGATAAATAAAATATTGGAAGTGTCTATTTGGACAAAATCTTGTTGTGGATGTTTTCTTCCACCTTGTGGTGGCACAGATGCTATTGTTCCTTCCATAATCTTAAGCAAAGCTTGCTGCACCCCTTCTCCTGACACATCCCGTGTTATAGAAGGATTCTCAGACTTCCTAGCTATTTTGTCAACTTCATCTATATATACAATACCTTTTTGCGCCTTTATTATGTTAAAATCAGCAGCTTGTAACAATCTTAATAATATGTTTTCTACATCTTCACCAACATAACCAGCTTCAGTTAAAGATGTTGCATCAGCCATTGTAAATGGCACATCAAGAATTTTAGCTAAAGTCTGCGCTAATAATGTTTTACCAGAACCAGTAGAGCCAATAAGAAGAATATTGGATTTAGTTAGTTCAACATCATTATTACCTTTTTCAATATATTCTAATCTTTTATAATGGTTATACACAGCCACTGATAGAACTTTTTTAGCTCTATCTTGACCAATTACATAATCATTTAATATAGTACATATTTTTTCTGGTGTTGGAATAGTAGAAGAATATTGTTTAAGTGCTACTTTATTCTCCTCTTTAATAATATCAACACAAAGTTCTATACATTCATTACAAATAAACACCGTTGGACCAGCAATCAATTTCTTTACTTCATACTGATTTTTACTACAAAAAGAACAATTTAATTCTTTTTTATCAATTTCCACTACCATTTATTTACTATTATAATTTTTATATTTTACTTATTCTATAATATCTAAGAATAAAAAGAAAGAGTAATACACCATATAACGTTAAGACTATAAATATATTCTATATTTACTAGAACTTGTTTCCTTTCTTCTTCCCAATTACTAATATTATCAATAACAATTTTTTCATACATCTCTATGATATAGTTTCATAGTCTGTTTTTTAATAGACCTTTAAGTAGTTCATTGCTCTTTCGTTTAATTAAAGAAATTACAAGGCTTTCTTACATGTTTATACTATAATTGTTATTATAAGTCTACTGAAACTAAGAAATATAACATTATAAAGCTCTTAAATTACTTTAAATATTTTATAGAAAAATTGAAATATACTAGCCCCATACAGTATTTTAGAGGTGCACTATATAGATTTAATATTACTAAATATTAAAAAAATAATTAACTATTTTAAAAAAAAGATTATCGTGAGCAAGAGAAAGAATAACTTCCATAGTAATAAGGATTATAATAATCCATTCAAGCCTAGTTGAATGTTTATAATTTAGGTCATTCGATAAAATATTATAAAGTTCATGTATCATATTGAGTCTATGATTTAAAATATTTTGCCTAATTTGGATATCTTGAAACTCTACTGTCATTAAGTATAAAGGCTCATAGCTAGGGCGACGCCAAAAAAACTCTGGTGTATCAAGTATATCACTATGTAAATTAATTGAATAACGTTCATTGAACAATATACCAATTTGTTGTGATATTTCTTTTTTAGAGAGAGATACACTACCAGTTCTTGCTAATTCTTCTTGAATAGGAGATGTTTTAACTATTAAATTAGCAACTGATCTTTCCAGCACACTAAGCTTAACTGATTGGGCTAATGCATGAGAAATAGATAATTTAACAAAAGTTGATTTGTCTGCTAAAATTATCTTATTTTTTTCTTCATCAATAAATGTCTTATCTATATTTTCATTATAATCAAAATATATAAAGTCTGATGATGGATAATCAATATGGCCAGACTGAGATTCATTAATGTCATTAAGAATAACTCTTTCTTGACTTTCCTCAGCCCCCCATATAGTTACACAACCAAATGGAAACACAAAGACATCTATATATTCTATATCTTTTTTGATTTCCTTTTGAATGTAAAGTACCTCATCAAAATGTTGTGGATTTAAACCAAATTTATTAAGACTTTCTACTAAATCATTCATCTTATATTTCACAGCAGTACAATAAGATGAGCATCTCATATTATTTTATAATTAAATAAATTGTATATCTCAGAAATTATAGTAGTATAAAACCGCTAAAGTCAATAGACTTCTTATAAAACTTTACGTTAAGAATTATTAAATACATGATTAATATTAAATAAATAAATTAATAAACAAAATATTCTAATCCCAATTGCAAAGTATTTAGTAATTCGATATAAGGATCTTTGAATTCTATAAAGATATTATATTATGTTAACCAATGGACAATTCTTTATTGTAGGACTATTTGGTTTCATTAGTGGTTTTACTATAATGATAACTGGAAATAGCTTAAATTACTGGTTGGCTAAAGAAAATATTGACTTAGAATCAATTAGTATATTTGCTTTTATATTAATACCTTATTCTATAAATTTTCTATGGGCCCCAATTTTTGATCTAATAAAGATTAGATGGTTAAATAATATATTAGGGCATCGATTATCTTGGATCTGTCTAATACAACTTTTTTTATCTAGCTTTATATTTATATTAAGTTTTTTGAATCCACATAATGGTCTATTATTATTTGCTATAATTAGTTTAATAATATCTTTCTTAAGTTCAGCTCAAGATACGATTCTTGGTGCACTTCGTACTGAAATTATTACAAAAGAATTACAAGGCACAATATCTGGAATTTATATTTTTGGCTATCGTATAGGTATGTTACTTTCAAATTCTGGTTCCATATATTTATCTATTTATATTGGATGGAATAAAGTATACGTAGTTTTTGCTATTATTATATTTCTTTTTTCTATAATTTTAGTATTTAGCATCAAATATTTTAAAAATGAAATAATTAGCCCCATAAATCAAAATATTATTAATATAAATCCTATTCTAATATCTCATGAAAAAAATTTAATCTCTTTTATTAAAAATATATTAAAACCTGTAGGATCATTTTCTTTTATCCTATTCGTAATGATTTTCTTAATCTTATATAGATTACCAGATAATTTTATTAGCATGATGATTAATCCATTTCTAATTCATCTTGGTTATAACGAGATTGAAATAGCAAGTGCTGGAAAATTCTTTGGTATAATTAGCTCTATAATAGGTGGATTAATAGCAAGTTTTATAATGAAAAAAAAGAATATCATAGATAGTTTATTAATATTTGGCATTATTCATGCTATAGCTCATACTTTCTTTATTATACAAGAAATTTACGGTAAAAATTTACTATTATTATTTATTACTATGGGGTTTGAAAGTATAACTGGTGGTATGGCTATGGCGGCTTATATATCTTTTATTGCTTCTTTATGTAAAGGTAAATTTCGTGCAACTCAATATTCATTCTTTTCATCCATGATGGGCTTTTCTAGATCAATTTTCCCAATAATTTCAGGATATTTAGTAATAGAATTCGGGTGGAAGAATTTCTTTATATTTACTATTATTACTACCATTCCATCCTTAATATTATTACTAAAAATAAGTTCTAAACTAAAAATAAAAAAGTAAATAATCCCACTTATTACAAATTATAAACTATTATGTAATAAAAAAAATTAAAGAAGATTATAAATATATTGCAAAAAAAATATATATTACAATTCTATTAAAGAATGTTAAGTATTTTCTTTTTTAAGCTTTATAACAATTTAAACGGAGGATAAGTTAGATGGAAAATATAGAAATTGAGTTTATAAGTGATAATAGAAATGGCACAGACATAACGAGCATATTAAATGCAACATTCCTGGAGTGGGTTAATGACAAATTAATAATAGTACGTAATTCTACAGATGATAAAAGTGTTTTTTATGTTTCGAAGTATCTTAATGATCTTTTTGCTGATGTTGATCCTAATCATTTTATAGAATTAATTAAGAATTGTATTAATGTTAATCCTCGTAATCTAACAGATATAGATTTTATCTCTACTGACCCAGACTATTCTAGACTGTCTGGCTGTGATCATTATCTTGTTTCCAATTGGCCTAACAAGACAGACCCAATAAATAGAGATAGCCTACTAGAGTGGTTCACACTTAATGTATCTCAACAATTCACTCAAAGTAAAAACAATGAGGATGATTCATCGGGTTTGTAATATAGTTTGTGTAAGTTGCAAAAGAAGCAGTAAGAGATTACTGTAGAGAAAGTAACTTAAACAAAGGAAAATTATGACTAAA